AGGCAGACTCGGGGGAGGAGGACTCGGCGGCGGCGGAGGACTCGGAGGAGGAGGACTCGGCGGCGGCGGTGGGGGGCTAGGCGGCGGAGGAGGAGGACTAGGCGGAGGAGGACTCGGCGGCGGCGGACTCGGCGGCGGTGGTGGACTCGGTGGGGGCGGGCTCGGCGGCGGCGGAGGTGCTGGTGGTGGTGTGGTATCGGTAATGCTCACGGTTGTGAGAGTCACACCCGCAACTGTCACCCCATCCGTTATGCTCGCCACCCGGACGACAAACGTCTCGGGTGGCGCTGACTCTGCGTGACCCTCGTACACGCCATCCTGATAAACACGCACAACTGCATTGGCCGTCTCGGTCCCCACGGGGAACACCACAGTTGGGGTCACAAGCGCAAAGTCAAATCCAGACAGAGCTGTCCCATTGACTGTCTCGAGCACGGCCACGATTTCGATCTCGGCGTCGAATCCAAGCGAGAGCGCCACGATATAGTCGACAAAGCCCGAGCTCGGCTCGCTCGCGGCCACATCACTGACGTTAAAGCTGAGAGGGGGAATCTCCTTGGGTAGAGCCACGTTGACTTCGAGACAGCAGACCTCGTTCTGCGCAAACAGCCGGATCTCCGGATCACACAGGCCAGAAGAGAGCTGCGTCGTGGAGCACGGCGCGGTAAGTGAGCATGATGGTGCCCACCACTCGTAGCTGTACTCAAGATTGGCCGTTGAGCACGAGCTGACAAAATCGGTCGTACTCAGCACCATATCATCAAAGAACACAGCTGCGTAGTCGCGCACCCCGCTTCGCCGCGAGAGATACCCACCAAACACAATCTCGCTCGCCCCGGCTGGGAGCGAGAGCGTAAAGCTCGACGTCGTCGGCGTGGACACTCCAGACGCCGTCAACTCTTCGAGCACCTGCACTCCTTCCGTGCCAACGCCGTTTCCAAAGTACACGTTGTTGACCCGGAGCAGTGCGCTGACACGCTCGCTGCCGGCATCGAGCCGGTTCGCCACCACAGAGTGCCGCACAGAGAACGTGTAGCTGCCGGCGGCTGCAAGCACAAAGTTGAGCCGGAAGCCACCAGAGAGCGAGTTGACCGTCCCCACCGCTGTGTCCGAGTAGTCACCAAGGTACACCGCGCCCGTGTTCGCAGATGTGCCGAACCCCGTGTGGTATTCGATCACAAGCGTCGGCGCTGCAGACGCGTCTCCGTTCACAGACTCAACCAGTCGGATGTTGGACGTCCCAGTCGAGAGCCCAAACACAATCGTCATAGAGTTACCGCCGCGCCATCCGCTCCGCGAGACAAGCTCTTGCACAATCGGCGCAATGTCCACACTCTGATACCGCGCGTTCGTCACAAACTCTGGCACTTCGGTCCACGTCACGGTCGCACTCGTTTGCGGGAGACTCGTAATGTAAAAGTCAGTCTCCGGAATCGAGCTGCCACTGTCGACGGCATGGCCCCAGATTGGAACATCCACCCCGGTACCCGTGTCTTGTCCGCCCCCGTTGTCACCCTCCACCTCGATGTACGCCCGCGTGATTGTTGCGCCTTGCGGGACGCCGATGCTGTCGAACGTGGTCGCCAGCGTCCACGTCCCGATCGGGAGCGTCCCCCACGAGTTCCACACCCTTCCGTCTCCCGCACGCTCAAATGCGTTGTCGTTGCCGGATGCAATCCGCGACTTGGTCGTCAGCGGGTGCCGCACACGCCCAGCAAACACCTGTCCAGTCACATCTACAGCTCCAATGTCGGCAAACAGGTCGTCGCGCACATACTCGAGCTCGTGCACTTCGTCGGGTTCAAAGTCCACGTTCACGCTCACGGCTCGCGGTGAGAGGTCAATCATGTTCGTCACGTTGCCAAAGAGCTGGCCAGAGCAAGGGTCAGCCTCCGTTCGCACTGCGCGGACCTCGGTCTCCACAATCCTCGACGTACAGCACGTGTCGTCGCTCTCAAACTCAACGTCGATCGTGTTGTTGTGGAAGAGCATCTCCGAGTAGAAGCCGCCGTTGCCAACAACTGCCACATTGGTCGAGACGGTTGTCCCGTACCAAGCCACAGAGAAAAAGTCATCCGAAGGGTTCTCTTCATCGCCCTCCTTAAATAGCACCCGGATAAAGAGCAGCTCGTTGGCGGCAAGCGCCATCGGGCTGCTTGTCTGCGGCGGTGCGTCATTGTACGAGTTCTCGTCGGCGTTGGGCAGGATGTTGAATGCAACCCGCGCCAGCGACGCCTCGTCCGGCCCGAGCCACAGCTCGACAGAGTTGTCACCCGCCACTACAAACGTGTACGTGTCGGTCTGCCCCACCCGCAGCCAGCCCGATGCCTCCACCCCGTAGTTCAGCGACGAGACGAGTGTCGCTGCGCAGGCGCCCGACGCAGGGTTGGCCTCGAGCGTGTTGAGCTCGGGATCCACACACCCGGGCGAGTGCGTCAGATAAGCGTTCGACGATGTAAGATCCGAGACCTCGGTTCCGGTCACGTCGTCGTAGACCTCGAGCAGGAGGCCTGGCCACTCGACGGGCACAGGCGCCGTGGCCCCGCAGTTCGAGTCGTCGTTGCGAATGGTGACAACCGCCCGTGACTGACGGAACTCGACCGGCGACGGCCCACCACCATTGTAGGAAATGTCAATGAAAAATTGCTCGTCGACCTCGAGCACGTTGTCCGTATTCACGTCCACACTGATCGAGTAGCAGTATGTGTTTGGCACGAGCGTCACCGTCCCGGCTGCTGCCACGTAGTCGCTGCCCGCCGACGCAGAGCCATCAACCGTGGCATAGTCGATGTCGACCGGTGCTGACACCACAGACGTGAGCACAAGCGAGACCATCACCGACACCGTCCCGGTATCGCCCTCCATCACCTCCTCGTTGAGCACATACACTGCTGCAGGCGGGCACGAGTCCGACACACCTACAGAGACGTTGAGTGGAACAGATATCGATCGCTCCACAAACGAAAACGTGTTGATGATCGCCTGGTCGCCCTTGCTCCCAGACGCAAAATTGCCCCATGCCCTAGCATTGACATTGGCCACCGCCGTCGCGTCGTACGTCGAGTTGAACCCGCAACATCCCGAATCGGTGTCTCCGGGCTGGCCGTTCGGCATGTTGACAGGCGTCGCCGGTGGGTTGATCACATCATCGTCGTTCCAGTACATGATTTGTGGCCTCGGAACTCCTTCAAAGTACGAGAACATACGCATGCCCGGGTAAATGGTCTCCACGTCAACCATAGGAAAGTGGATTTCCGCGAGAAAGACCCACACCTCACACAAGTAGTACCCGTTCGACACGGATGCTCCCGACGAGTCGGTCCCGTCCCACGTCACCTCGTTAGCCCCAGCCACCGTCGTGCCACTCAGCACCGTGTCCGAGCCGTCGACAATGTTGAATACACCGTCGCTGTTGGTATCGCACACAATCCGATACGCGCCACCCGCTGCGTCGGTGAAGAAACGGAACCGCGGGTTGACTTGCCCGCTGACAAGCGTCGTGCACTCGGTCGTGAACGCGCCGCACCCGACCGTCACGTACAGCACGTCATCAAACTCGATCGTCGGTTGCGTGTCTGCCAGCGGGATGTGGTTCGGCGGCCTGAGGTAGAGTGGGATCTCGGGCGTGATCGCATGCCCAGCCTGCGGCGACGACTTGTACGCCGGCGTGTTTGTGGCAATGCCGTTCGACGTCGCCCCAAGCTCGTACACAAACCCGGCGAGGCCCTCAAACCGAGTCTCCACTAGCTTGTTGCCAAGCGAGGTGAGGAAGACCGCCCACATCGAGACGTCGGTCGCGTCGGTCTCAGCAAACGACGCTGCCGCAAAGAACCACTGACGCGACCAGAGACGCCCGCCAACATCCATGACCAGAAGCGTGTTGTGGATGGTCACGTCCCACACATCGCCCGCGACTTGATCTGCGTTAAGCTGTAGCCGATACGCCCCGTTCTCTGTCGGTGTGTACGACGCCGGAGTAGCGCCCGACGTGAGTGTCGCCACGAGCTGCGAGTCGGACGGTCGGAAGATCGACAGCGAGTCGCGACCAAACCACCGGATCTCTTCAGAGTTAAAATCAGCCACATCGATGAACATGATTGTCTCGGAGCGGAGCGCCTGCTGGACGCCCAGAATGTCGGTTCCATCACCAGCCACCAGCAACCACTCACCACAGATCAAGGCGAGCATGACCACCGCCAGCACCACTTTGCGCATCTTCACATCTTTTCCGAGAGCCATACGAGAGGTCACACAGTCTTCGCTTTCAGACACCATCATGACCATCGGTACTCGTGATGCGCCAGTAACACTCGGTCAGCGTTGGCCACGTGTACGTATGCGTTGCGTCGGGATGGTCTGCCGTCAGCTCAATCGTTCGTTCGTTCGTTTGTTCGTTCGCTCCCTTCGTTCCCTTCAATTGTTGCTTCTTCGCTCGTTGCGTTCGCTTGTTCGCAACGCGTTCGCGCAACAAAGACGCTTCCCACCAACTCGTAGCTCTCACGTAGAGACCGTCACAGAGCTAGTAACCACCACAACCCAAACAGAAAGTAACAATGTGTTCTTCTGGAGGGAAGGGATGGGGGGGGAGAGGAGAGGAGTGATGTGGTGTGGGGTCGAAGGGGGTGGGGAGGGTGGCTTGTGCTTGGCTGCCGCCCACCGATGTGGCTGACTGTTCGAGCACGGCAGCTCAAATTGGTTGGCAATGCTTGTCATCGTTATCCATCCCTGAGCAAACAATCGTTGCCAGAACCATGGCGATGATGTACGAGCTATGGGGGTGATTGCAAGCTTGCTCCCCTTTGTGATGCGGAAGAGTGCCCGAGCTGGAGCTGGACTCGGTTGTGTTTGATGTTGGGCGGTGTCGGTCACATGGCGCAGGCCATCAGTTGGCCATTCTCGGTCAGGTCACGCTGCAGAGAGCGTCTACACGTCGGGCCTAGCTGCGGTGATGAGGCAGCGGCTCGGTCAGCTAACCCCCCCCCCCCCCCCCCTTCCCTGTCCGAGTCAGCGTCAGATGCATGAGGGTCATAGTTGTGCCGCAACAAGGTCTCGCGGCAGGCGATGTGGGCTGAGGTTGTGGGTGGGCTAAGGCGTGGCAGCGGCATGGGCATCAAACACAACATCGATGGGCGGAAACAAGTCGTTTCTGGACCATTCACGTTCGATGACCAGCGGCTGAGCGGTTGCCATGGGATTGGGGACGACGTGACCAAGGCCACTGCCATTCTTGTTGATGATGACCGAGACCGACTCGAGCGCAAGGCCCGATGCAGCCACCTCCGGCGAGGGGACGGCCAGCGCCAGCCCCTTCCCTAACACCGAGTCATCGATCTCTTCCACACGACGTGGATCAAAACACTCCCATGGATACTCATCCACATGTGGGTTACCGCCATCCCCATCCCCACCCCCACCCCCATCCCTGTCCCCGTCCCGGTCTGCAACAGAGTCGTCACTTCGCGACCTTTTTCGGCCACTCGACCTCTTCGTTCCGCCAGCCACCGCCAACATGCCCAGCCCCACCGCAAACAGCTGCTCCTCTGCCCCGCCACCACCAGCACGTGCGGCTGCCATTCGCTCTTCCGCCGTGCTCCAGTCCATGGTTGGTCGTCGAGTGAGGTGCTGTACGCCGTAAGCGGATGCACCGTTCGCGGGTGGGGGGGAAGGGGGGGAGGGGGGTAATGACGGCGATGTAGCACTCGGGCACGATGTTCTTGATCTCATCGGTTCCGATGTAGTAGAGAGTAAAGCCTTCTTCGGTGTGCCAAACCTGACGATTCTCCGTCGATGTCCATCCCGAGCCTGCCCGCCAACGACCTGCCGACGGTGGCGTGTGATCACGACGACGATCACGATCATGATCACGATCACGTCCACCACCTCTCCACCCCACCCCACCCCACCCCCCCACCCCCACCTTCCTCCACCGCGCGGGGTATGTCGACAAAGAAGCAGCTCAAGGCAGCCAAGAAGGCCCTTGCGCAGCAGGACTACCCAAGTGCGCTCTCTGCAGCTGAAGAGGTGCTTTCCCACGAACCGACCAACTACCATGCTCTGGTCTTTGCGGGCATGGCCACTGTGCGACTTGCCGAGGAAGACGGCGAGCTGACAACGACGACGACGACGACCACCGCCGCCACCGCCTCTGCCGCCTCCGCCGCCGCCACCAGCAATGACAAAAATATGTTTGCCACGGCAGATACCGTCCTCATGCCGAACGCCGACTCGACGACAGACGCCCCCACCGGCTCGTCCTCGACCACCGACTCGCCCTCGCCCTCGACCACTGGCTCGTCATCGCCCCGGATGGCGGCGGCTGTCGAGTACTATACAAGGGCTACACGCGCTCAAATGGATCTGCCTCAGGCTTGGCAGGGCCTCTTTGAGCTCTATACGCTCACCTCTAACTTTGATGGCCTCCATCCGGTCATCGATGCTCTGCTGCCGCTGCTGCCAGACTCTCCGCCAGCAAAGTACCCGGCATGGGCTGCTGTCTCGCTTGCACTGCGGCGGCAGTGGGAGGCCGCACTCGCTACCTGGGCTGACGTTGATGACGCCGACAAGGCTGCGATGGTCGACGGAGGTACCCTTCCAGCCTTTGCACCTCCGCTATTTGCGCTAGTCTCGGCTCTGCACGCCCTGGGAGGCCTCGACGACATGCTTGAGGCCGCTGTTGCGGCCTCGTCGTCAGGCACCAAGAAGAAGTCGATGATGGTCGTCGGCATGGCCTCCAAGCGCCGCGCCGCCGCCGCCAAGGCCCGCAAGAAGGTTGCCGCTCTTGCCACCGTCCTCCCCACACAGCTTCCATGCGTTCTCGAGAACCTGGTTGCTTTCCTCGCTGCCAACCACGCTCTCGTGTTACCGGCCGCCCTCCTGGCCCCGTCCGAGTGGGAGCTTGTCCAGGCGCTCGCCGTCACTGCCATTGAGCTTGCCGCACCCGATGCGCTCCCACTCCCGCGGCTCGCTGCCGCTGCTCGCCGGGTTGTCCCGCGGCTCACCGCCCAGCTCGGTGCCATCGATGCGTCGTCCCTCACCGCCGCTGACGTTCTTGCGCTCGTCAACGAGTGGGCGACTCGCCCGCCGGCCGGTCAGGCTGTCGACGCCACCGATCTCACCGCCGCGCTCGATTGTATCGCCACTGCTCTCGCTGCCGACGCGTCCGATGCTGCCCGTGTTGCGTCGTCTCTTGACGATTGCACTGCGCTTGCTGACACTGCCGAGCTGCCCAAGCCACTCGCCCGGGCGCTGACCAACCTCGGCATTCCGCACGCGTACATTGCGGTGGCGTCACGGCTGCCGGTCTCGTCGGCTAGCCTCGCAGCGTCGCTGTACAAGTCTGCGGCAACGGCTGCCGAGCGTCTTGCTGCCGCGTATGGGTCGCCGGCCGCGCAACTGCTTGCCACGCTGCAGCTCTCGCAGGCGCGCGAGCTGATCAATGGGCCTCGTCCACGGCCGGCGGCAGCCATTGCTCCGCTTACGGCGGCGCTCGCGGCTGGGCCCCATCCCGAGGCGCTCGCACTCCTTGCCTCGGCCCACTACACTCTCGGCCACTTTGCCGACGCCGCCCCACTGCTGGCACAGATTGCCGAGCCGAGCCCGGCTGAGCTCGAGGCGCTCGGCTGGTCCCACTACCAGCTCGGTGAGCTCCCGGCAGCCTCTGACGCGCTCGCCGCGAGCGTGGCTGCTGAGCCCGGCCGCGCATCGGCGCAGCTGCGGCTAGGCATCGTGTACCTCGAGCGCGGCGGTGATTTTGCCACCGAGGCGCCGTACGCACAGACTGCGCTGCTCAAGGCAGCACGACTGGACGCCAGCTCAGCCGACGCTTTTCACCACCTTGGGCGGTTCTACGCGCCGTCCAACCCCGACAAGGCCATGCGATGCTTCAAGAAGGCGCTCGCGCTCGAGCCAGACCACGCCGATGCCGCGTCGGCGCTTGCTGCCATCCTCCTCGCCGCCGACGACATGCGCGCCGTCATCGACCTCGCCCACCACACCCTCGCCCAGCGGCATGACCCCAAGTGGGCGCACCGACTCGTCGGCCTCGACCTTTTGGCACAGCTCACGCACCCACCGGCAGCTACCGGCTACACCCCCGCCGAGGAAGAGGGCCTCCTCCTTGCTGCTATGCCGCATCTCCAGCGCGCGCTGCGAATCGACCCTGACGACGCACAGCTCTGGGAGACCCTCGCCTTTGCCTACTGGCGATCCGGCAAGTACGCGGCCGCACTCAAGGTGGTGAGCCACCTCCGCGAGAGCCCGGGCCTCGGATCCGACCTTGCCCGGTTCATCGAAGCCTCACTTTGTGCCATCCTCGACATGCGCGCGCAGGCCGAGACTGTCTTTGCCTCGCTCCTCCGCGACGCACCCGACTTTGCGCCGGGCCTCCTCGGCTACGCCTCGTTCCTCATCACTGCCGCCCGCCGGTACACGGCCTCGCCGTTTGCGCCACAGTTTGCGGCAGCGTCGGCCGCCCTGACCAAGGCTGCTGACCTTGCCCGCACCGCCGCTGTCCTCGTTCCCACCTTGGTCCTCCCGCGCAAGCTACTTGGAGATGCGGCGCTGGGTCTTGCGCGCATTGTCAAGACCTCTGACGCGACCACAGCTGCAGCCCAGCTGCGCCGCGCCTCGCGTGCGTATGCCACTGCGCTACGCGCCGCGCCAGGCACCGGGATGCTCTGGCATGACCTCGCCGTGGCGAGCGGTGTGGAGGAGCCGTTGGCCGCCGCAGCTGTGCTTGAGCCGAGTGCGTATACAGTTCCTGCGGCTCGCGGCGTCCTGCTCGCTGCGACCGACACGCTCGCAGCGCAGTCAGCACTCGCAGAGGCGACAGCCAAGGCTGGTCGGGTGCCGGACGTGAGTGTGGCGTCCAACTTGGCGGTTGTTGGTGCCCTCAACTACGCCGCCGGCATGGTCGACGCCCAAGGTGTCGTCCGTCAGCTCGCGGCGGTTCAGGTCGCTGATCCCGAGTCGTCGCTTCCGTGGACGCTTCGTGCCGCCGCCGGCATCGAGTGCTCCTCGGTTACCGAAGTCCACAAGGCGCTGCAGGCGGCAGCACTGGCCGGCGTCCGCCCGCGCGAGGCGGGCTTTTACGCGCACACTCTCGAGCCGTACCCGGCCTACGCAGCATCGGTTCTCGCTGCAGGAAGCCAGTACCTCAAGGTCGCACCCAACTGCGCGGCGAGCCACGCGCTGGTGGGCCGGCAGCGCGAGTTGCGCAACGAGCCGGGCCTCGCGCTCCCGCACTACATGGCGGCCGTGGCCCAGGCACGCAATGTTGCTCCCGAAGTTGGCGGTGGCCTCGTCCTCAACGCAGCGCGGGCAGCAGTGGCGGCCGGCGCGCCGATGGAGGCGTTGGCGCTGCTTGACGCACTCGACGCCGGGACGGCTGTTCCGGGCTACACGTCGGTGTCGGTCTGGCCGCTGCGGCTCCGCGGCCTCGCTCTCTACCACGCCGGACGGCACCAAGAGGCGATTGCGGCGTATCAGGCGGCGTATGCTGGCGGGCGGCCCGAGGAGCAAGCGGACGTTGCCGTGGAACTTGCAAAGGTTGCCTTTGCGCTCGACAACGTGCCAGTGGCAACGCAGTACCTCGAGCTCGTCCTCAGTAGCTCTCCCCAACACGTGCTGGCAGCGGCGACGCTCGCAGAGATCCTGGCGTGCACCGGGGCGTACGAAAAGGCGCAGGCCATGGCGGCGCGACTGCGTGGGACCGGCCAAAGCCTCGAGCCTGCTGGCTATGTTCTGATGGCGAACATTGCGGCGGCGGCCGGCGACGCCCGGGCCGCGTCGCGGTTTGTGCAGTACGCTCTCCACGTAGACCCGAGCAATGCCGGGAGCTGGAACGCGCTCGCCAAGCTGTGGATGCATACCGAGCTTGGGCAGGCCGGGCGGGCGGTGCGGGTGGTGGCGGTGGCGACGGCGACGGCAGCCAAGTTGCCGGCGAGCCGGAGCCAGGCACTCGAGCAGCTGTCGCTTGCGGCGACGGCGCGGCTGCACCGCGGGCTCTCGCCCACAGCTGGCGTGCGCTACGGCGATGTCACCGCGCTCCGTGCCGCGCTTAACGAAGCGTACTCGCTAGCGACGCGGATGGTGCGGCTCGATCCCGAGTCGTGGCACGCATGGCTGGTGCTAGCGACAGCGCTGCGTGCACGCGCGGTCGCTGGCTGTGGCGAGCCGCTAGCGCCCGGGCGGGTGCGTGCAACGCTCGACCGCGCGTGTCAGCTGGCAAGCCAGAGTCGCGGCTCGCAGCAGCCGCTGGCGCTGACCTCGATGGCGCTGGCGTCGCACCTCCTCACCGAGTACGTTGCGACCGACTCGTGCATTCCGGGCCTGCTGCAAGAGGGCGTGAACGCGGCGTCGGTGGCACTGGGTGTGTATGGGCAGGAGAGCCCTCAGGCTGCGCCAGCGATGGTGCTGCTCGGCCGGGCCCGGCTGATGCTGGGCGATGTCGCGGCGGCACGCGAGTCGCTGCTTGCTGCGCTGCGTGTCGATCCGCAACACATGCGAGCATGGGAGGCGCTGGGCACAGTGTACGGGGTGATGGGCGCGCCTGCCGCGGCGGAAAAGGCGTTCCGACAGGCCATGCGGTTTGCGCAGGCTGGCGCCGGGCGAGTTGTCCCGCTCCTCCGCGCGGTCCTGGTCCATCTGCAGGCCGGCGACCTAGATGCGGCCCGCGGGCCGCTGAAGGAGGCGGTCAAGCGCGAGAAGAAGTCGCCGCTGGTGGCTCTGTTCAAAGGTGCGGTGCTGCTCGGCGACGGGCAGGGCCAGCAGGCACGCGAGGCGCTGCAGACAGCGCTGGCAGCCAACGCTGGTCTCGAGGCTGTTGTCGACGGACTCCTCTGAGGCGAAGCGGCGGCTCAGTAAAGGTTTACCTCAAAGAACGGGTTTGTCGACGGGGCTGACGTCGGTGGCGGGGCGGGCTTGGACGGCGCGTCGAAAGAGACGAGGCCGTCGAACGGATCCGGCGGCGGCGGGCCAGTGGGAACTGGCGGCTCGGCGGCCTGCTGCTGTTGCTGACCACCAAAGCCGGCAGCACCAAAGCCGGCGGTGCCGCCGAAGCCCTGCTGCTGCTGATGCTGCTGCTGCTGCTGCTGCTGCTGCTGACCACCAAAGCCACCAGCGCCAAAGCCGGCGGCGCCGCCAAAGCCCTGCTGCTGCTGCTGCTGCTGCTGCTGCTGCTGCTGCATGAGCATCTGCTGGCTCATCGCCAGCTGGTACTGCTGGACAACCATCTGCTGGAGCATCTGGACCTGCTGTTGCGTCATGCGGGTGGGGTCGAGGCCGTTGGCCTGGGCCATAGAGAGCATCATTTGCCGGAGCTGCTGCGGCTGGAGCGGCGGGATGGCGGGCATGGCTTGGGCAGCGGGCGCCGGCGCGGGCGTGGGCGCCGGGGCGGGAGCGGGAGCTGGCGCGGCGCCAAAGCCTGCAAAGCCGTGAGCCGCCTGCGGTGCCGGCGCCGCAGCTCCGGTGGACATGCCAGAGAAGGCCGAGGCGAGTGAGGCCATCTGGCCACCTGCGGTCGGAGCAGCGGCCGGTGCAGCGGCCGGCGCGCCAAAGGCGGCAAACCCGGCAGAGGCAGCAGGGGCACCAAACGGCGCGCCGCCGAAGCCTGCAGGGGCTGCGGCGGTAGCCGGTGGCGAGGCCGCAAAGAGCGCCATGATGTCTGACGTCGACGACTTGGTCGGCTTTTGCTCGGGTGCGGGCTCGGCAGGCGCGGAGAAAGCGTCCATCCACGACGACGATGACGCGGGAGCGGGAGCGGGAGCAGGAGCGGCAGCCGGAGCGGCGGCGGCAGGGGCGGCAGTCTGGGCCTGGGCCTGGGCCTGAGCCTGGGCCTGAGCCTGAGCCTGGGCCTGGGCCTGGGCCTGAGCATCGGCCTGAGCCTGGGCCTGAGCCTGAGCCTGAGCCTGGGCGCGGGCCTGAGCCTCAGCTTGAGCGCGGGCCTGGGCCTCGGCCTGGGCGCGAGCCTCGGCCTCTGCGCGCTCGAGCTCGTCATCTGCGGGCGGCGGAGCGTAGAAGCGCTTGCGGTCAAAGACCTCTGTGATAAAGGCCTTGACACGGGCAGGCGGGGTCTTGGAGTCGGGCAGGCTCTGGGTGTAGTTGGCAAGGTAGGTGGCACGGGCCATGTCGTTACCGCCGGCATGGAGCTGGTCGATCTCGGTGTCGGAAAAGGTGGACATGGAGACGCCCTTGACCCGGTGCTGGAGCTGGCGATGGAGCGAGGAGCAGTTGGTGCAGACAAAGACGGCAAAGGGGAAGACGAGGTAGATGGGGTTCGGCGCGGAGCAGTCAAAGCAGGTGCGATTACCTGTCTCGCGGGCAAAGCTCTTGACAAACTTTTCGCGAGCCTTCTTCTCACGCGTTGTCAGCTTCTTCTTGCCGCCATACGTCGCCGGCTTGGCGAGCTTGGTCCCGCGAACCGTGGTACGGGTGCGCGCGGCAGTGACCGGAGCAGCCGTCTTTGGCACTGTGGCGGCGGCCGGCGGCGCACTCTGGCGGCGTGATGACGAGTCGAGGCACGAGTTGACATGAACCTCCATCGAGACGTCCGACGGGACGTAAGATGAGCAGACCGGACAGAGGCGGTCAGACGATGACATCTGAGCATGTCGGCATCGATGGACGGCATCGAATTGTCAAACGTCGCAGTGTCACAAGAAGATGTACAGGTGTTACACGCGGACATGCGCGGGAAAGGAGGTGCGGCAGGCAGGAAGACAGGCAGGTGGGTGGGCGGGCGGGTGGGCGGGCGGGTTGGGTGAGAGAGCGTCAGGCGGGGCGGCGGGGGGTGGCGGGAGGGGCGAGGGGGGGGGGGGGGGGGGGGACACAGACCGGGATAACGAGGGGAGTGAGCAGAGTAAGTGCATGCATTTTTGTATGGGTAACAACGATTCCTAACCCCGCCTCCCTATCTACTTTGTACACCTGTATTTCATGTAGCCCGTGCGGTGGAGCATGTGGCAGGTGTGCGACATGGTGGGCATGTCGCCTCCCGAAAGAACCAAAATTCGCCGCTGTTGCCACCACCATGTCGCGGTCGCCGCCATGCCGCATGTGGCTGGCCATGGGGAAGAGGGCGGGAGGGGGTAGCTATGGAGACAGCTACACTGAATAGTCGCAGAAGGGGGAAGGGGGGAGAACATACCTCGGGCGTGTGGCGTGTGGTCAACCCTTGCTTGACTCGAGCGGGCGAGGAGTGGGCGTGCGTCTGCCCAGCCTTGGTGTGATCGATCATGATTGTGACCGTATTTGAGCCCATAATCATCATCATCATCATCATCATCATCATCATCATCATCATCATCATCAATATCATCATCATCATCATCATCATCATCATCATCATCATCATCATCATCATCATCATCATCATCATCATCATCATGTTCGTTGTTCGCCACTGTCAATGAGTGGCTTCTCTGACATGATCGTCTGTCCGCAGTTGGTGGAAGGCCCGACAGGTGGTGGTAAGCATTGATCATCAGTGGTGATGATGTCATGGTGGTGGGAGTGATGGTTGGAGGGTGATGGCGTAAGGAGGTGGCCATGGATGGTGTTGATGGTGTGCAGGCAGAGCGGCGGGTGAGTCGTGTCCGCCATCAGGCCATGGCTAGGTATCAGGGCATGAGGACGAGACAAGACAAGAGATAACCACGGTTTGATGGCCGATACCACCGGCATGATCAAGTGGGAATGGTGGCAGCTGGGTGACGGTCGAGGATGAGGATGCAAGTGAGCAATGAGCGTGATGAGAGGGAGTCCGGGCGGAGAGCCATGCGCTTTGGTACACTGGCCAACCAGCCACCCCCGTCTCACCCAAACCAACGCCATGGCGTAGCTGCACATGCGTTCTGACAATATCGCCCACTCCTGGATCCATTCAATCACGCACGGCTACCAACAACGGTTGGCCCAAGGCTGGCGGCAGCATGCCAGCTGGTGCAGGGAAGACTGATGCGGTCGTCTGCCAGTAGCCACAAGTGCATTGGATGATCCTCCCCGCCATCAATCTGTAGCACATAGCCCTCGCACGCAAGAGCCCCGATACCAGTACCGATATCCAAACTCATTCCCCCCGCTGTACCCCCCGCAGAGTGCACAGGCAAGGGCAAGTCGATGTATATTTTTCTTCGCGCATGAGTACTCTTTCATTACCTTTTTACCACAATTCACGCACAGCCTCGCTCGCTAGCTCAATTGCTCCACAGGCCACACAACGGCCACCCAACGGCATCCACTTCTCTCGAGCACTTTTCATACATCATGTCTCACTCCTCATGGGTGGCGTTTGCCGTTGGCGTCGTTATTGCAGCTGCTTTCGTGCTGCAGCATGAGCGCGTGGAAGCAATAGCTGAGCTGAGTGGTTGGGCCAACGTGCAGCGGTTTGGCTTTACGCAGTCGACCAATGTAGCCTGGAACGATCCGAGTGTGCTGAAGACGAGTGATGGGACGTGGCACATGTGGGCGAGCCATCCAAAGACGCCTGTCTTTGGCAAGCCTGTCGAGCCGTACTATCTGACGTCAACCGATGACGGCGCGAGCTGGACCATCGAGAACGGCGGTGCGCCTGTGATCGAAGTCGGTGGTACGGGCTCGTATGACGAGGCTGCTGCGGAGACGCCCAGCGTGGCGTACTTCTCCGGCGATGGCAAGTACCACATGTATTACACTGCTCAAGAGGATGCACTCGACGTGACGACGTGGTCCATCGGCCACGCTGTGAGCGCGTCGCCGGCAGGGCCGTGGATCAAGGATGCCTCACCAGTCATCACTCGCAACTCGGCTGGCATTGGTTCGTTTGTGGTGGCAGAGCCCGGGGTGGTCGAGTCCAACGGCGAGCTGCTTGTCTTCTTCACTTCGGTCGTGGGATTCCCGTCGCCAGCGCCGATGAACACCCAGTACGACATCGCCTTGGCGACCTCGACCAACGGCACGCACTTTACAGGGCACAAGGTTGTCCTGAACCAGGACGCAACCATCTGGACCCGCGGCGACGGCTACATTGGGTTTTCCACCCCGGCGCCGGCCATCATCAACGGCCTCGTGTATCTCTTCCACGACGTGTACAAGGCCGGCCAAGTCGCCGGCTGCTCGTCGCAGGAGACGACACAGGCCGCAGTCAGCTATGCTCACGCCGCATCGCCCGCAGCCACCTTTACGCCCGCAGCCGCGCCCATCTATCGCCGGTCCGACTTTCTCTGGTCCGCATGCGAGCTTCGCGCCGGCAACGCCATCATCAACGGTGACAAGATAGTTCTCTTCATCGCAGGGCAGAACGTCTCGTCCGACTTCAACACCATCGAGTATGGTGTAGCCATGGCTGAGGCCCCGCTCCCGCCGCCGCCATCGCCGCCGCCGTCACCACCGCAGCCGCCATCGCCGCCGCCATCGCCGCCGCCACCGCCGCCTCCCCCCGTGGCCACTGCTCCTCCACCCTCACCGTCGCCCGCCGCTACCGCCGGGGCGCAGGGTGGGAGTCCGAGCTCCAATTCCGACAGCGGCAGCCTCGCCAAGGTTGCCCCTGTTGCCGGTGCTGCCATCGCCGGTATCGCCATCATCGCCGTTGTCGCCCTTGTCATTATCCGCCGCCGCCGCGGTTCGCCTTCGAGCACTACGCCCGATTCGTCTGTCCCGCTCGCGTAGCTTTGACCGCGTCGATCCCCCCAACAACAACAACAACAACAGCATTGATCATACCCCCATCAACAACCCCCCAACAACAACAACATTAATCATACCCCCATCAATAACCCCCCGCACCCACCGATCTCCCACGTGTCAGGCCAACGTGCCCCGTTCCTGCGAACACCTCTCTCCCACCCCTCCCCCCCCCCCCCCGCCCCGCCCCCCTCCATAGCCGTAACCATAGCCATAGGCAGGCACCCCGTCACCGATGATCAAGTCATTCCGCAAACGACGCAAGCGGAAGAAGGCTGATGCAGCACGTGCGCTGTCTGTGTTCGGCCGACCTCTGCATGAGCTCTACCTCGCAGAGAGTCAGCCGGCTACCACCACGTCTGGCAAGAGGAGCAAGAGCAAGTCAGTGGGAGACAGAGCTGATACTGGTGACAATGGACTTGGGCATGGGCATGGGCATGGGCATGGGCATGGTCCTGGTGGCAGTGGTCGGGGCATGACAAGCGAGTCGATCACAAAGTGGGAGGAGGAGGAGCACCCGATGTGGCTGCCTCGGGTACCACGCAAGCTCATTGCGCTACTTCAGAGTCGGGATGGGGCGCTGGAGACAAAGGGTCTGTTCAGACTCTCAGCTTCGGCTTCGGCCATCAAGGCCACAAAGACAGAGCTGGATACCTCGAATGGAACCGCGGACATTGCCAACATTGATGAGCATACCGCTGCTGCCCTCCTCAAGATGTTCTTCAGAGAGCTACCGGATCCGCTCATCCCTGCTCGTCTCTATGATGATGTGGTGGCGAGTGTCCGTGCGGATGAGCCCATTGCTGCACTCGGTTCTGTACTCGAGCGACTGTCGCCGAGACGGATGGTCATCCTCCGCGCCCTCATCGCCTTTCTTCGCCAGGTCGCCAGCCACGAAGCCGCAAACTCAATGGGCGCCGCAAACCTGGCCCTTGTCTTTGCGCCAAACCTGCTGCGCGGACTGGGCGATGCCGATGATCCGCTGGCCTCGGTGGCTACCATGGGCCAGGCCAACAAGGCCGTTGAACTGTTCATCGTTCACTTTGATGACCTCTTCCCTGTTCCCGACTCGGCGCATGAGCTTAGTGTCGCGGCCAAGCGCACTCGCACCCGCACACGAGTCCGGGTCCGCAAGCGCTCCAAGCGCGGCCTTTCACCCGCGGCCAAGACTGCTGCTCATGTCAGCATTCCGGACAAGCCGCTTCCTGCACCACCCAAGCCGGCGCCACCCACCTTCCCGTTGCCCGAGCCCGCCCCACCCGAGCCGACGTCGCCCGCGGCCGCCCCACCCGAGCCGGCATCGCCCGAGCCGGCATCGCCCGAGCCGGCGTCGCCCGAGCGACCGGTGCTCCCGCCGCGGCCAGTCGCAGCCGCTCCGCAGCCCAAGGCCGTACAACCCAGGCCGTTGCCGCACCGTCCAGCGCCCAAGCCACTCCCACAACGCCCGGCACCCAAGCCAGACCCGAGACCCGCGCCAGCGCCGGAGCTCGCGCCAGCGCCAGTGCCAGCGCCAGTGCCAGCGCCAGTGCAGACGCCCGTGTCAGAGACGCCACCGATCACAACTGCAACCACGCCGCAGTCCGAGCCACTGCCTAAGCGGGCGGCGCCACTGCCCAAGCGGGCGGCGCCGCTGCCACCGCTGCCAGCACGGCCCAAGGCTGCTCCGGCGCCAGCATCGGATCCTGCGCTGGTCAACCACGACCACGACGATGGAAGTGATAGCTCGTCGTCTGGTGTGTTTTCCGTCTCGACAACGGGCTCGATCACCCTCTCGCCTTCGCCAGAGAAGAGCGTGCTGCCGCTGCCTCCGGGTCGCCCTGCGGTGATGTCGGGCGGCAATGACAGCGAGTACGAGTACTACTCATACTGGTCGTACTCGGACGTCGACGACGATGCGGCGGCGGCGTCGTCGACACCGGCGCGGATTGCGACCACGGCCGGGGTAGCGGTAGTCGGCAGCCCGTCGTTTGACTTTTACTCGTACTCGTACTACTCGGACGAGGATGAGAATGCTGACATGGCGGCGGACGGTGGTTCCGGTGTGTAGCCGGTCGGCCCGCTTACTGCGAAGCAAAGAGGAGATTAGCGGCAAAAGCCTCGTCGCCGCCGGTCTGTTGCAAGGCCGCGACGGCCTGCTCGCGAGTAAAGCCGAGCGCCATGACCCTTGCAATGGCATCGTCAGAGATCTCGACGCTCCCGCTGGCAGTTGCGGACGAGGTCGAGGTTGTGGTGGTGGTGGTGGTGGTGTCCATGGCTGCGCGGCCCGAGTCGATGGCCGGATTAGGCGCGTCCTTGCGGAGAGCGTGGATGTCGGCCTCGGAAAGGAAGGGCACTTCGGCGTCGCCGATGCGGAGGACGTCGGCACGGAGGTCGATGCAGCACTCGTGGCGGCGGAGGTTGTCGAGGCCGAGTAGGAAGTCGACGCCGTCCGACTTGAGGACGGTGAACGAGGAGGTAAGGTGCTTGCCGGCAATGGTAATGGGCGCGGCGTGAACGCGCCCGGCGATGGGCGCCGAGCCGACGCCAACAGCGGTGCCTGCGAACCGAGTGTCAATGAGCCGCATGATGCCGCAGCGCTCGGCGCAGGCCTCGGACATGATGGTCGACTGGGCACCCGAATCGACAAGTGCCTGGACCGGTACGCCGTTGACCTCGCAGTTGATGCGGAGGAGGTAGACGGAGCCAAAGGCCTCTGGATTGTGCTCCATGGCCTGAGCAAGGTTGTTTTCGACATTGCGCTGGCGGATCTGCTCTTCAAGCTCGCGCTGGGCCTCGACATCAAACGGATTGGCGGCAATGCGGGCCTCGAGGTCGCGGATTTTCTTAGCGGCGGCCTGCGAGGAGCGGATAAAGCGCTCTACCTCGTCGACTTGGTTCTCGAGGACAAGCTGGGCGAGCTGCGGGTTGGACGACGAAAGACGCATGAGAAAGTCCGGCGAGGCCTTGACATACTCGATAAACTCGGTGGCAGTGTAGTACTGGCCCTCGACCTGGATGCGGACTTGGCCGTCGTCTGGGAGCGGTGGAGGCGCTGTGGTGGCGCCGAGCGCCATGGCCGAGCCGCTCGACGGCGGCGGCGCTGACGGGTTGTTCTGGAAGAATGAGCGCATGGCAGCAGCCATTTGATCGCGGCGGGCGGCGGCTGGGTCGCTTGTCGCCGGGGAGGCGCCCGGGCCCGCGACGGCGGCGGGAGCGGCGGGAGCGGGAGCAGGCGGTGGGGCGCCGCCGCCGCCAAACGATGCCAGCATGTTGGCCATCTGGTCAGCAGAGAACATCTGACCAGCGGCAGCGGGTGGAGCCGGTGTGGCCGACGACGCAGGCGACCGCTGCATCAGAACAACATCGTTGTCAGCAATGCCGGCATCAGCGAGGGTGGAGGAATCCGACAACGGACGGCCGTTGAACATGCATGTTAGCTCGAGCAGTGGGATGGAAAGCTGGATAGCGGCGAGGGCCTTGAGCGACTCGATGGTCTCTGAGGCGCTCACCTCGATGGTGGCGATGTCGCCGGTCTCGGTGGTGACTGCGTACCCGCCACAGGTCGCACACAGATCACCCACACATCAGCCACAGGTCGCACACGGATCATCCGCACACCAGCGAAAGGTCGCGCACCAGCCACAGGTCGCACACCAGCCACAGGTTGCACACGGATCACCCGCACATCAGCCACAGGTCGCACACGGATCAGCCGCGCACCAGCCACAGGTCGCACACCAGCAACAGGTCGCACACGGATCAGCCGCGCACCAGCCACAGGTCGCACACCAGCAACAGGTCGCACACCAGCCACAGATAACACACCAGCCACAGGTCGTACATCGGCCGCAGATCACCCATGCCCACCATCCATTGTTCCACTGCGTGAGTACCTGCGCCAGAGGAGGTCGCACTTGGGGGGAACAGAGGGGGGGGGGGGGGGATGACAAAGACGGGCGGGGGACACACATACCGACTACACGCATGCGGTTCAGCAGGTATGCGTTGGGACGGGTGCGAGGAGTAGACGGTCCTTTGGGCATGCACGACAAGTGTGATTCGGTTACCGGCCTCGGTCGGTCATAGTTGGCTCGGCTCCGGCTCCTTGCTCGGCCGCGGGCATCTCTGCCAGATGAGCTTTGTTTGTGCAGTGAATGTTATGATGTAATCAATACTGGTCCAGCTCCTTGTCGCCAGGATACACACCCATGTCGTCATCGTGGTACGCTGGTGGGGGGGCGGCGCCGTACTCGTCGACCTTCTTGGGCGGGCCGGCCTCTTCGGCCGATTCCGAGACAGGAAGGAAGCGCTTCTGGCCGAGCCAGAGGAGGAAGATGCCGATCATGAGAAAAGTGGCCATGGCGATCTGTGATTGGGCGACCATCTTGAGGCCCGACGTGAGCTTGGTGCAGAACGAGGCAAAGAGGTCGCGAACGAGGGTGGTGAGAAAGTCGCAGTTGAGCAGCGGAATGATCTCCTCGGAGAGGATGCGGTTGTACTCGATCACGTCGCCAATCTCGGTGAAAGCTGCAACCGAGGTTGACTGCTCGTCTGATCCCTGGGTGCACTCTGTGCGGCAGGCGTCAAGTGTAAGCGGCTGTCCGCCTGTGTTGGGCGACGGAGTCCAGGTGGCCTGGCGGTAGCTCGGCAGCGTCGTCGCGTTGCACACGCTGGGACACCCGTTGAGCCGCGGCGAGGCCGTGACGGCGCACGCCGGCTCGAGCCGCGAGCACGACGCCGAGACCGACTGGTCGAGCCCAGAGCGTGCGTCGTCGGCGAGGCCCTGGAAGCCCGACGCGATGCCCGAGCTTGACGAGCAGCCAACGAGCGTGTCGAGGATGTTGTCAGGGTTCGAGCCATCGATAAAGGTGGCAAACTCGTCGCAAGCGTCATCAAATACAATGGCCAGCAGTGAATGGATGCCGGTTGAGAGCCAGACAAAGGAAAGCGAGAGCGTGATGAGCGTGCCAAATACAATGTGGATGCAGCAGCCGCGCTTGTTGAGGATACCGAGTGAGACCGAGGTGAGGAGCATGAGGAACGGGACAAGGAGCGAGATGTTGGCCGCCACCGCCCGGATGACCTCGTACGCGTTGATGTCCTTCTTGGCCGACCGCACGTCGTTGACAAACGAGTTGGCCGAGTTAGCTGCCTCGCTAATCGACGCTGCCACGTCGCGCGTGTATGGAAGCGCCTCAAGCGACGTCCCAATCGCCCGCACTTGCGCCACCAGCGAGTCGCCGGCCTTGATGAGTGCGTCGACCACGCCGTTGACGCCCTCGCTCGTCCGAGCGTTGCCCACGTACGCGCACACGAGACAGATGAAGCAGACCACAACGGCAACCAGGGCGAGCCCCTTGACCGCATGAATGGTCGACTTGGAATACAGCTTGTCCACATTGCCCTTGCCACAGCAGAGGCCCGGCCGCGGATGCCGCCCGCCCATGCACCCGCACATGCGGAAGCAAGCCAGCAGCGGGCCACACACGCACATCAGACACGCCAGCACAATCATCGGCACCACCACCGCCAGCAGGAACGATGCGTAGTTCTCCCAATCGCACTCATTCTGCTCGTTCAGCGCACAGAACCTGTCCCCGACCAGCCATGCCCTCGGTAAGTACCCCCCGGACCTTGCCCTCTCCCCCCTCTCCTTCCCTCCCTCCTCCTCGTTCACCCTGATCACATACCTATTGGAGATCTTGGTACCTGTTGCGGTTCTCCTCAGGAGAGTCCGGATGGGACGCTTTGCCAGCGCACCCTCCTCTCTTGCCATCGCCAGCTCTGATCTCAGATCAGCCCGGGTAGTCCCATCGGTTGACGCGAGGGAGACCGGCGAGGAGTGGCCGACCGACGACGGCGTGGCTGCCGACTGCATGGTGACGAGGCCGAGAATGGCGCCGTAGCAGACCAAGGCCATGAACACATATGACACATGCATCTTGCAAGGTACAAACAAGCCGTCTACACCTGTTCCTATTCGGCGACAAGTGTGCTCTCCTCCCCCGCCCCCACCTTCCTCGTCCCGCCGTGGTCCGAACCCACGCTGTTCCGTAACTCCATTTACCGCTCAATTGACTCACCCTTCGCACCATTTGGTTCGTTCCATTTTCGTCAACCACCAGACATATAAAAAAAATTACTACACCACCCCCCACCCCCCCCACACACACACACCAAACACATCCGGCTGATACCCGCCCTTTACACACAACAGAACAAAGTGCAGCAAAAAACATTCGGTCAGCACCAATGACCAACGACTGCGGCAGATGATGACGAACGACTGTGGTAGATGATGACCAACGACTGTGGTAGATGATGACCATCGACCATGGACTGCGGTAGATGATGACCAACGACTGTGGTAGATGATGACCAACGACTGCGGTAGATGATGACCAACGACTGCGGTAGACGATGACCATCGACTGCGGTAGATGATGACCAACGACTGCGGTAGATGATGGCCTTTGCTAGCTGGTAGCCAATGATCAGAACAACCAGACTACGACACTCCCGCTCCGCAAACGCCCACCACTGCCACTGCCACTACCACACCCACACCCACACCCACACCCACACCCACACACATACACATACACACTCCACCCCCAATACCACACACACACACACACACACACACACACACACACTTCCACCCCTCCCACCCTCACCCCCCCCCTTTCCATGTCGCAGTCGTGGGACTCGGACGACGCGCTGTCGTCCAGCTGCGGAGAGACAGAAAGCCACAATGGCATGAAAATGAGCCATGACAAGACAGCCAACACAACAGCATCACTCATGTCGTCGGTATCTCCAAGTAGTGCGAGGATGGCTGCTGGTGGTGGTGGTGGTGGTGGTGGTGGCGCTGCTGCTGTTGGTGGTGGTGGCGCTCGGCGTTCTTACTCGTCATCGTCTTCTTCCTCGTCATCGTCATCGTCATCGTCATCATCGTCTTTGTCGGCGGCGGAGGAACAGATGGTAGACATGCCGCCCTCACCGCTCATACCTAGGCTTGTCCCTCCTTCTCCTGAGGGTAACTCTGGTGATGGTCGCTCTCTGGCTGGTCTCCCGCCACATGCCATAACTCGCTCGCTCTCGGATACAAACATCGAGGACATGCCCGGGCGGACAGAGGTCATCTCTGCCCCGCTGCATGCAGCCACTCGGGACATGGCGAGTCTGGCCCGTGTAGGCAACCGCGTCGACTCACCAGGCAACAGGCTAATGGCTAAGTGGCGGAAGGCTGCCAGCGGTGCGACCGATGACTCGGCTGCGGGCGATGCCACTGGCACCGATCGCGTCCCAGATCTCCCCGCCACAAAGAGTATGGTTGCACCCGAGCGGTCGGCTTTTGTCAAGGACATTCTCATAGTTGCCTTTGCTGCAGACACGCTCGGCAAGCTCGCCGAGTCGATGAACATGGACCTGACGCCGCGCTCGCGATCCAAGGCAACTGCCAAGGCAACAACTAAGGCTAGCTCACCTCTTCTCCGCTCCGGCCGGCGCAAGCACCGTGTCCGCGGCAAGCGTGCAAAGTCGGCCAAGGGCGCGCCCGAGCCGGCGCCAAACCCGTCACGCTCCGTCTCGCCAGTTCTTCGCCCCATGCGTCGCTCCGCCACCGAGATCGCCAACCCAAGCGGCCTCGGAGAGATGGACCACCACAATCTTGACATTCCCTCGTTCACCTCGTCTGGCGAGAGCTCGCCGCGGAGCCCCACGTCGCCGCGGACCTCGCTCGAACTCTCGGCCACCGGCTCGGTCGAGTCTGGCCCTAGCGCCGCCCCAGCCCCGCACGCCATCGCCGCCGCCTCGTCGGCCGCTCACCTTGCTCCGCCGGTCCAGCACGGCGCGCCAGCATCGACGCTCTCGTCGCTCTCGTCTATTTCGGACGACACCAATGCCACCGCGTCGGCTGCCCACTCTCCCTCGTCCTCGTCCGACTCGTCCTCGTCCGACTCGTCTGACTCAACTGCCTCCTCCGACCTGGCCCCGTCAGCCTCGGATGAGTGGGGCACCGTCCAGTGCCACATCGACGGCGGGACCGACATTGCGCTGCACAACGGCATTCCTGTTGCGCCGCCCACCTCGTCGGCCATCTCAGCCGCCGACATCTTGCGTCACTTTAACTTTTCCGACGTGTACGAGGCGCCCGACCCCGAGGACGCGCTCATTGTCCTCGACTCGGCGCACGTCGACCTCATTGTCCTTGACATTGAGGTTGGTGGCGTCCAAGTTGCTCACTCTTGGCTCCGCACCCTTGTCAAGCAGAAGATGGGCCACATTCCGCGTGTCTTTGCCATCTTTCCGCGTAACTCTGTCGAGATTATCGCGGCGTTTATGGCCGATGGCGTTGTCGACTACCTCGTCAAACCGTTTGTGCCCGCCGCGCTTGCCCACCGCGTCCGCGGCCTCGCCCCGCCCACCATGCTTCAGCCCAGCCGGAAGAGCTCGCTCCCGGCCCATCTCCACCGCATGGGCCTCGCCCGCGGCCGTGCCGGTCACCAGCACTCGGCCATCGATGCCATGCGCAAGGTCACTCTCCGCTGGAAGCTCTCGCTCATCGAGGCCGAGCGGAAGAAGCACACCCACCTCGAGTCGCACATGGACGACATGCGGACAAAGCTCGCCCTCGTTGAGACGCCGCTCCTCTCGCTCGTCTCGCGCCTTCAGGAGCTCACCAGGCTTGACCTCGGCAACCCCCACAAGGCCGACTTTGTCCGCTACGAGCTGCAGAGTGTCATCTCGCAACTTGCTTCGGGCGACCTCTTTCAGCCGCGGATCACCACCTCGCCCACTCCGGGCGGCGGCGCCCGCGGCTCGTCCGGGGAGGAGTTTGCCTCGTCCTCGCCGCCAACCTCGCACCAGTCCATCTCGGTCTCGCGCTCGCCGCCACCGCCGCTCCCGCTTGTCTCCTCCGACGACACCATGACCATCCACCGCGCCGCCGCCATGGCCCGCGGCCAGAAGCGCCGCGCCTCGCTCGCCGCCCCTCTTCCGCGCTACGGCCGCAACATGTCACCGACCTCACCGTCGACCGGTCCGTCGCAGGTCCCGCCGGCCCCGCCCGGGCGCCTTCGTCGCATGTCTTCCCACTCGGAGTGGATCCTCGACACCTTCACCCGCCGCCCGCGCGGCAAGTCGCACGCCCTCCGCCGCTCCATCTCCTCGGTCGCCTCGCTCGACAACTCGTCCGACCGCGACCGCTCCAAGTCGCCGTGCTCGCAGGCCGCCGGTCTCGTCGGCCATCTTGAGGACTCGCCGCTCCGTGACGCTGGAGGCTCGACGTCCTCGATCCCGCCCGACGCCCCGCCTGTCGCCGGTACTCTCGCCTACGAGCCGTCATCGGGTGTTGAGGCCACCGCGTGGGGCGCCTTTGTCTGGGTCGACGCCATCACCTCGTGCGTCGCCGCCCTCGTCGCCGACGCTACCAAGCACGCTTCGCTCACCCTCTCCCAAGCCCGCCACCACATCGACACGCTCTCGTTTGCCGCCACCTCGCTCTCCAAGCCCGACCTCATCGTCTGTCTCGTCGCGATGTTTGATGCCGCTGGCGTCATGGCCGCATTTGGCCTCTCCGAAGAGCTCGTCTACAACTTTGTCGTCGCTGTCTCGCACCTCTACAAGTCGCCGAACCCGTATCATAACTTTGTCCACGCCGCCGACGTCACCCAGTCCGTCTACTACTACATCACCCACTCGGGCGCGGCGGACCTCCTCACCCCGCTCGACTCGCTCGCCCTCCTCTGCGCCGCTGTGGCGCACGATGTCAACCACCCCGGCCTCAACAACGACTTTCTGGTCGCCGTCCAGGCCCCGCTCGCTCGCCTCTACAACGACAACTCGGTCCTTGAGAACCATCACGCAGCGCTCCTCTTCCGCGTCCTCTCCTCGCCGGCCTGCGACATCACCTCGGTCCTCTCGGCAGATCAGACTGCGTCCTTCCGCGCCATCGCTGTTCACGCCATCCTCGTCACAGACATGGCCTCGCACTTTGAAATTATGGGCCAGTTCCAGGTCGTCGTCCAGACCCGCGAGCTCGACCCCACCTCCGAGTCGGACCGCAAGCTCCTCGCCGGCGTCATCCTCCACGCCGCAGACATCTCAAACCCCACGCGCCCGCTCGCCATCTTCAAGGACTGGGCAGATATGGTCTTTGCAGAGTTCCTCGCCCAAGGCGACCGCGAGCGCGACATCGGCCTGCCCGTCACCCCTATCTTTGACCGCGAGACCTCAATGCTTGCGCCGCTCGAGGTCAACTTTATCAAGTTTGTCGTCCAGCCCTTCTTCTCCGTATTTGTCACCCTCTTCCCGGAGCTCTCTTCGCTGCTCGAGAACATGCTGGAGAACTTTGCCTACTTTGAGGCGCTCTCCTGAAATGCTCCGCTGTAATCCGAGGCTCTATGTTGCCAGCTCGTCGGTCACTTCGCAGGGCATCGTTGCCAGCTCGCACGCAAGCTCGCCTGCCGTCCGCCCGGCCCCGTCTCTCGTCGCCACCAGCCGCGCGCGGACCTTGCGCGCCTCTGCAACTGCCAGTACCGCAGTAGCCCCGCCCACCGCGCCCATCTCCACCGCCATGTGCAGCGCCGTAAAGCCCGAGTCGCCAGCCGTCGCCACCAGCTCGTCGTCGCTCAGTACGCTCGCAACCAGCTGCACCAGGCCCGGCTTGCTCCACGCCGCCACCTTGTGCAGCGCTGGTAGACCAAACATGTCCAGCCCTGCAGGATCCACATCACCGGCCGCCAGTAGCTCCTCCACCACCGCAAAATCGCCTGGTGCCTCGATGAGCTTGGAGAGGACCCGGGTGTACGGTGGCCCGCGCGACTTTGCCGTCGTCACCACCCTTGCCCCTCTGCTCTCCTCTGCAAACATCGACCGCACACTTGGCCCGCCCTCCACCTTGCGCAGCTTGATCGTCCCGCTACCAATCGCCCCAGCCACCGCTTTCCCCAAACGCGCCAACCCGATGCCCGCAGGAGACGATTTGGTTGACGACGAGGAAGACGGCGGCGGAGGCGGAAGCGGAGGCGGAGGCGGAGGCGGAGGCGGAGGCGAAGGCGGAAGCGAGTGCGGTAGAGGCGAGCCTGGCAACGGCCCTGTGCTTCCACCGACACCGTCCTGTGTCGTGGCAGCAAAGCCGGCTTCCGGAACCGAGCCAGAGGTCGAGCCGAGGTGGGCGTCGATGACCTGGACAACGGCCGGCACGCCCTGGTCACGGGCAATGTCGATGGCGGAGCGGTTCCAGGCATCGCGGGTGGTGGTGAGGGTAGCGGCGACGGGAGCGAGGGTGAGGAGGAGCCGGAGAGCAGGAAGCTCACCGGCTGCAACAGCAAGCATTGTCGGCGTCTCATTCCACTTGTTGGTGGCGGTGACGACAGTCGCGGCAAGGTTGTTGTCGTCGCCGCCGGCAGAGACGAGATCGGCGAGCCAACGGAGGACATCCATGCACCCGCGGGAGGCGGCGATACCAGCGAGGTTGTTGCCCGATCCGTTGCGAGCTGTCATCGATGCGCCGGCAGCAAGGAGTGCTTGGACTGCTGCCGGTTGATCCGAGGCCGCTGCCAGATGGAGAGCGCCTTGTCCGTCGCTGCCAAGCGTGTCGAGCGCAGCTGGCAATGCGCCGGGCCCGAAGTCGTCGCCGAGTTCGCTGCCCAGGTCGTCGAGTGCGGCAGAGAGCTTGGCCACATCGCCCGATTGCGCGTGTGCAAAGATAGCCGCGAGAGACCGAGGAGCGCCACCGGCGACGGCGGTCATGGTGCGCCAGGCGAAGGAGCTAGAGAGACGAGTGTGGAAGAGCTAAAGCAAAGCGATATGTTCATTGTGTGCGGTGACTACTGCACAAGCTTGACGTACGAGGCCGGGACAAGGCCAACCTTGCCGCCGAGCTCAGCCTTGTACCAGCCGGCATCCATCCTCTGCAGGATGTAGAGCTTCTGGCCCTTGCGGAAGCCAAGCTCGTTCTCGTACTGCGGCACAAAGTCGCCGCGGGCGATGGCGCGCTGGCGCTGGCGCGACGGCGCGGTGGTGGGCCGGGTGCGGCCGGAGCGTGCGCCTGAGCGTGCGCCGGCCGTGCCGGGTGGCGGGCCTGCGACGCCGCCGGTGGCCCGAGAGCCGCCGCCCGAGGCGGCCGTGCGGCGGGCCGGCTTGGAGCGGTCCTGGCGGGCCTCAGCGTGGCGGGGGCCGCGCTTCCCAACGGCGATCGCGCTGGGAGGCCTGCGCCAGCGGCGGCGGCGACGCCCGGAGCGGCACCGCCTGCGTGTGAGCGGCCGCGGCGGGTCTTGCGCCGACGGCGGGCGTGGCTGCGGTGCTTACGCTTCTTGCGCTTGCGCTTGCGGAGCTTGAAGAAGCCGACGACGCAGCCGCCGATGAGGGCCATGCCGACCGAACCGGCCATGAGTCCGTAGAGCAGGGCTTTGGGGATCGGCGGCGGCTTGGTCTTCTGCAGCGCAGGGAGGTACATGGCCTCGACGCCCGTCGTCGACTTGACGATGACGGCGACCTGATAGTTGGTGGACGCGTCGAGCGGGTAGACCTGGAGCAGCGGGTCCGAGAACGCACCATAGGCCAGGTTCTGCCGGAACACCGTCCCGCTCACCTTGACGTCGCACGGCGTCTCAAACGCCACATCGGCCTGGTTGCGCCGGAAGAACACATCGTACCGGAGGTCAAAGTCGTAGTCATTGGCAGAGCCCGCGAGCGCAAAGGTGACATTGACCGACGACTCTTCGCGGAGCGCAGAGATGATCTTGCCCGGCAGCTCGCCGGGGAGCGTGCCCGGGACGGGGGCGCCTCGGTCCGGGCCTCGAGTCCGTACGACACGCCGTCGCCCTCCACGCCGACGTAGTATGTACCTGCAGGCTCACAAGCCTGGATGACCACGGTGGTGCCCGACGACGACGCCGTCGTGGCAGTCGGCGCCGTCTCGGTGCCGGAGAGGTACAGGGTCGGCGGGGTGCCGGTTCCGATGACGTCGGCGGTGACCACCACCGCGTTCGTCGTCCCGTCGTGGCTCACCGCGTAGTAGTTGATCGTTCCGGCCGATGCGAGCGCGCGCAACGGGTTGCCGGCGTTGACCGCCACTGTGTGGGTTCCAGTGATGGCGAGTGTGACCGTAAAGTCCGACGCTGCGCCGGTGGTGAGGACGGAGATGTAGAGGAAGCCGGCCGTGAGGTCGGTTGCGCCGAGGGTGAGCGTACCGGGCGCCGCGAGGGAGAATGAGCCGACAACGCCCTTGATGGGCACGATGTTAGAGCGGGCAAAGAGTTCCGGCGCGCCGGTCGACGCCGCAAGAGTCACATCGACCGTGAGCCCGGTGACATCGCCGAGCCAGTAGCGGTAAAAGGCGTACTCACCCGAGACAATCGACTTGGGCGTCGACGCCACGTTCTCCACCAGATCCACCGCGGTGCGGTAGGTAAAGGTGAGGCTCGAGTTGGTAAAGTCGACTCCGTTGGGCGAGACCTGGAGCGGGACGGTGACGCCGCCGGCGCCATATGGCGGGGTGGTGCACGTCAGCTGTGGGCCGACCATGGTGGCCGGAACAGGCTTGGTCAGGCCGAAGCGGCACATGGGCGTGGCGCCGGTGGCGTCAAAAACGCCCGACGCCGGCGAGACGGTGACCGTCACCGGCAGGCCGCCCGACTTGGGGCCCTGGTCAGCCGGCACAAGCGTGCTCGCCGAGATGGCCGTCGAGCAGTCAAGGCCGGTGAAGCCGGCGTAGCAGGTACACACGCCCGGGCCGATGTCGCACGAGCCTTGCTGGGTGCAGTTGTTCGGGCACGAGCCGCCGCCAAAGGTGTAGCCGATCCGCGAGCCAGTGTAGTGCAAGCCCGAGTTGGGCGAGACCTCGAGCTCGACAGTCGACTTGGACAGCGCCGGTGGCGCCGTGCAGGTCACCGTTGTCTCGTCGACTCGGTTCGCCGGCCGCAGGCCGATGCCCTTAAAGTTGCAGATAAACGAGGTGCCGTTAAAGCCAAAGCCGTGGACGGTGACGACGTTGCCGCCGCCGATGGGCCCAAAGTTGGGAACCAGCTGTGTGACTCCGATGGCCTGCGAGCAGTCGGCACCGGTGTAGCCCGGCGAGCAGGCGCAGACTCCGCCGGAGCAGATTCCGTGCCCGTTGCACGCGTTGGGACACGGGGGGCAGACGCCCTGGCCGGTGGCGGCAACGACAACTTGAGGCGAGACCGAGGCGGTTGTCACCGAGCCGCGCATGTCCGAGACAGTGACGGTAACCTCCTTGGCGCCGGCCGTGGCCCACCCGTGCGAGACCGCAATCGAGTTGACCGACGAGAGCGAGCCGTCGCCAAAGTCCCACGAGTAAGCGAGCAAGTCACCGTCAGGGTCGGTCACGTCGACCACCAGCAGGACGGCCTCCTCGACCTCGGGCTGGGTGCACGACGCGGTTACCGAGTTGATGACTGGCGCCGAGTTGGCGGCCTCAAAGCTGACAAAGACGTCAATGTAGCCGCGCCCGCCGAGCGACGACGTGCCGATGGGCGTAAAGTGGATCTGCTCGTCCGGGTCCGAGAACGTCCGCCCGATCTGCAGCGGCGAGTTGACGAGCAGGTCGTCGTACAGGTTCTCGGTCATGAACGCCGGGGTGAGATCAAGGAGGTCGGTCTCGGTCTCAAACGACGAGAGCTCGTACGCCCAGTGGACGTTGATGCCGTTGGAAAAGTACGGCGTCGCCGGTGCGTAGGCAATGTTCTGGCGGTACTCGAGCCAGTACCAGGTCGACGAGCCCGAGCCGCGACGGATGCGGACAGCGCGGACGCCTGAGTTCGAGTCGATGGCGTCGTGCGAGAAAATGCGGTACTGACCCGAGGCCGAGGCCGTCTGGCGGTCCGAGTCGGAGATCCATCCGACACCATGCTTCTTGTGAGTATTCACATGGAACGAGGAGCGGTCAGTGTCGATGGTGACGGCACCCATAATGTCAAAGTCGTCGCCGTACGGCAGCGTCTGTCCGCTCGAGCCGACCGGCGACGTGCCGCCGCCGTACCACGCGTTGGCGTGCCGGAACGCATAGTTGTGGCCAAGCTCGTGCGCGGCAATGTGCCAGTGCGCCGTGGCGTCAAACAGGCCGTTGATCCACGTGCCTGACGCAGCGATCGAGCCGAGGCCGGCCCACGGACAAGCAGTAAACTCAGTGAAGAGAATGAGGTACCGCTGGTAGTCGCCTTCGAGGTTGCTCGAAGCCGCCCACACATCGTCGTCGAGGAGCGACGACTTGCCAAAGTCGATCGGGCACGTCGAGCCTCCCGACGAGTACGAGCTCTTCGAGTTGGAGAGCGTGATGATCTCGTACTCGATCGGCGTGTACTGCGAGAGTCCATACGAGTTGATGTTCCAGTACGTGTTGACCGTTGTCATGGTCTGCGCGTAGTTGGTCTCGGTCGTCGCCGGTGCAGCCTCGTCCGAGAACTGCACCAGAAAGACGATGGTCCGGATGTCGCCCGTCGGCGTGTACGAGGTAAACTTGGCCTCAAACTCGGCCTCGTTGGCCGCATGCGCAGACTCGGCCGCAGCCACAGCCTCGGCCTCGTTGGCAAAGTGGACCAGCCGCGAGCCGTGCACGCCGACGTGGCTCGCGCTGCCCGCCGCTGCGGCAGGCGTCGCCGCCTCGAGCGCTCGCCCGTGGCTTTCCAGTAGCACTTGGCCGTCAGCCGCAGACATCGTCACCATCGGCGACTCGAGCACCGCCAGCCGCGAGCCGACGAGCACGCCCGTGACAGGAACCGCCTCGCGCGCCGCCCGCTGGTCGCGCACGCCATAGACCGAGGCCTGGAACTTGGTGGTCGCATGTGTTCCAGTCTTGTACACCACAACGTAGTCGTACTCGTGATCGTGGTCATCGTGGTCGTGGTCGTGGTCGTGGTCATGATCGTGGTCGTCGCTGGTGGCGACGGCGCGCGCCGCAGTCTTTCGCGCGCCAAGTTTGACCAGCCGCTTCGACTCGCGAGCCTCAAACTGGGCCTGGGCACGCTCGTCGAGCCGGTCAAACGACCGCAAGTTTGTCGGGTCAGCAGCGACTTCCTGCACGTAGGTCGCCTTTTCCGCGGTGAGGTCGACCGGCTTGGGGAAAGGGCAAAGCATCTCGATGGTGGCCTCGCCGGTCACCCACGTCTCGGCATGGGCCGCAACGGCAGGCGGAAGGCCTGCCAGCGCGGCCGGGTACAGAGCATGGCTGGCGACAGCCGCCGGGTCCGACAGCGCCGCATCGGCAAGCAGAGCCGCGCGCTGCGCCGCGAGCGCCACGCCGTCGGCCTCCGACGCCTCGCCACGAGCATGCGCCTCCATCCAGCTGCGCAGCTCGGCGGTGGCGTGGGAGAGCGAGACGGGCGCAGCAGTCTGTGTCTTGGCCTCGTCTGCCGATGCCGGCTCCACACGAAGCGATGAGCGGGTGTGCGAGAGCGCCACCATCGCCACAACCGTAGCCACCAGCAGTGGGACCGCGAGGTACACGGCCCACTTGGAGCGAGACTGGCGTCCGTTGTTCATCATGCCCAGCCCTGTTGAGAGAGGCGGGGCGCGCGACGAGCGACGAGCGACGAGCGGCGAGCGACGAGCGACGAGCGACGGGCCGAGAGTGGTACGAAATGGAGGTGATGAGCGGCGAGGGTGTGAGAGGGGTAGCATTGGGTGAAACAGGCAAAACGCATACGAGCGTGTAGGCGAGGACACGACCGAGGTCATAGTAGCATTTGTATAGTGATTAAAGAGTGTGAGTGTGTGGTAGGGGTGTGGGAGTGCGGGCGAGTGTGTGGAACAAAAAAGTGCCAAAAGTAGGCGCCACGCCGTCTTCCCTCCCATCCCTTCCCTTCCCTTCCCTTCCCTTCTCCCCCATCCCCCCCCAAGCTCCATAGACTCTCATGAACATTATTGTTTGGTAACATTGAGAAAGCCAATGATCAACACGATTGACCTGCTGCTGCCATCACTCTTTGCCCTCTTCCTTTGCCCCATTGAAAACAATTGATACGTTCGTGACAATATTCGATGACTTTCATTTCCGCAACGCCCGCTGGCACAGACAGACCAGGACGTGGAGGGGGGGAAGGGGGCGGGGGGAAGAAAAAATGAAAGAGGGGGGGAGGGGGGGAGGGGGGGAGGGGGGGGACGGAGGGGGTGTGGTACGTACTCGTGCAGCACCCAGAGAAACGGGACGGTGCAGGTTGAGGAGAGGTGTTACACGTGAGAACGGTTCGGCGTGGGTTGGTGGTGTGGCGAGCGGCAGCGGTGGTGGTGGTCGGAAGGTGGCGGCCGGTTGGCCGGTGAGGGGGAGGGAGGGAGGTAGGGGGGGGGGGGGGGGGAGGGAGGGACTGCGTTGGGGGGTATTGTTCAATAATAATCAGACATGTAAGCTACGCAAAGCATTGTTTGCGGTTGACGATGAGCCGCTTGACGACAATGACGAGGCGGAAGGCGAGAAAGGCGACGAGGGCGTGGCCGACAACAAGAAGGGCGTAGAGGCCGAGACAGAGGAAGCACGGCGCACCATCGGTGTGGGTCACGGGCGAGTCGACAGGCGGCGAGTCCGAGAGGATGGCGGGAACGAGCGAGGTGGCGACGTAAAGGATGAGCGCCACCGTCCGCCCGATGTGGACAGCGAGAAAGGCGAGGAGAGGCCAGAGCCGCTGGCCGTAGGCGCCGTAGGCGCCGAGCGCCACAAAGGCCAGCACAAAGGCGTTCGAGACCGAGGCTGTGGCGAGCGCGTCCCAGACCAGGACGCCGGCGTAGACGGTGAGGAGCATGATGAGCGCGACAGCCATCCAGCCGCTTGCGGACGCTCCGCTACCGGCTGCCATGTCGTGGCCGTCGGCGTCAGACTCGATCTCGCCGCGGCCGCAGCCCCACCAGCGGCGCGGCAGGCCGTCAGCCTCGGGCGTGTAGCCGTAGTCGTAGCCTGTACTCCCACTTCCTGCGCCGCCGTAGCGGTACCCCGTGAGCACGCCGCACTCGCAGTCGTCAATGTCTGCCAGAAAGGTGCGAGCAAGAAAAGCGTCGATCCGCGCCGAGAGCTGGCCGAGCGCGCCGTCGCCGCCTGCAACCTGAGCCTTGTCAGCGCTAAAGTGTTGCATGGCCAGCGTCTGTGGCAGGCCGACCGACGAGTGTGGCAGTCGGATTCTCAACTCGTCTGGCTCACCGGCCATCCGCGTCGATGCCGGCAGCGAGAACGCCAACGGCGAGCGGAGCCACTCCCCGGGAGAGCGCGACAAGCTGGCACCTCCGACTGCCATGCCGAGCCGATCTGTGGGCCCAGGCGACCAACGCTGGGTCCAACTCCTCTGACCATCCTGGCCGGCCAACCCAGCACCAGCACCAGCACCAGCATCGGCCCCGGCCCCAGCCCCGACCCCAGCCCCGACCTTGGCCTGCTTCCCGTCATCAGCACCGCCTCCCATAGTACTTGCCGACACAGCCTTGCGAGACAGACTCATACCCCGAGCCCTGACCGGAGCCGAGAGTGAGGACGGCGAGACTGGATGCGATGTCGATGATGATGGTAGTTGAGAATAGGCGCCAAGTTTGCCATGACCAGCAGCAGCACCACTTCCACCAGCAGCAGCAGCACTGTCGGTGGCGGTGGTGGCCGTGGCGGTGGTGGCCGTGGTGGTGGCGGTTGTCGTGGTAGCAGCAGGGCGGCGACCATCTGCACTTGTTGCCGACTCCATCTCATTTGTGGGTACACCTAGACCTGAGACTGTACCACTCCGTGCGGTGTTGTTGGAAGTGGTGCTGGTGCTTGTGCTGGTAGTGCTGGTAGTGGGGGTGGTGGTGGGGGTGGGGGGGGCCAGGGTAATGGACGTTGCTAAGCTTGCTGTCTTGCCCGCCTCCACCACCGCCGCACCAGCACTCCCTCGTGGGGGGCTACAGCCAAGTGAGTTGCCTACAGAGTTGACCCGTTTCAACCCTGCCCGGGATGCAAGTCCCTCCATCTCCACTGTGTGTGGTGTATGGGTGGGGTGGCGTATGGGTGGCGTGAGGTGGAGTGGGGGAGGGGTGCGGGGGGTGGTCATGGAAGGTTCGATGCTAGCGAGTGGCGGGAGGAAAGCGCGCGTGGGAAGGTCGAACATTGGGGAAATTTTGGTCTATTTGTACCGGGTCGGGTGCGGCAAGAACAAGCATGGGTAGAAGCGGGGCTGAATGGACGTTGGGAGCGATGATGGATGGGTAGAGGGCAGTTACTGGTCTATAGTGGGGACGGAGGGGGGGGGGGGGGGGACAAGAGTGGGGAAGGGAGGGGGGAGGGGGCAAATTGTATCCTTTTTATGGTTGGACACCGAATCATACACCGAGATAAAGTTGTCTTGGCGTGGACAAAGCAGGCTGAAGGTACCAGAGTTGCGGCAGGCTCACACGTCTCGCATGGCAGGAAGCGAAGGCGAGACCGAGGTGCGGCAGGAGACGGATGCGCTGGTGGGCGAGAGGCGGCCGCGGTATGTCCGGCCATACGCGACAGCGGTCCAGCTGTGGGGACTCGGATGGGCGCTCGACGGCGGAGCGACGATACGTGTGGCGACAAGCGCAGGGATCGGCATCTGCGCTGCAGTCTTCTACGGCGTGATGGCCAGCGGTGTCGATGATGGACAAGTGGCGCCTAGGATGTATTCGCGGGAAATGGCGGTGACGGGAGCGCTGGCGATGCTCCTCTGGGTCGTCCTCTACCTCGCTGGCGTGTGGGCCTTTGCCTCGCCGGTCAAGCTCGCCGGATCGGTGGCCAAGAGCTGGTCAGAGGTGGTGACCATCGCGCTGCGAGACGACGATCAGGCGGTGGCACGGTTTGTGGCGAGTGAGGCGAGGATCTGGCGGTGTGTGTTTGCTGTGACGGCCATCGTCGGCTTGCTCTTTGTCGGATTTGGCGCTTCGCTGTTCGAGCGCTGGTGGCTCGGGCTAGTTGTCGAGGGCGTGGTCTCTGCCACGATTGTGGCCGGCATGTGCATGGTGGTGGGGCATTTGATTGTTGTTGCGCTGCTTGTGGCTCACGCTGTGGATGTGGTGGCTTCTGGTGTGGTGGCGCCGGCTGAAAGCGAGGGCGGCGGCGGCGGCGAGGGTGGACGGGCAGGAGGAGGGCAGAGTGTCGAGTTGCTGCCGATGCTGGCGGATTTAGCGTCTGTGGCCGACGCGCTGTCGGCGCGGTACGCAGTGGTCTCGGTCATCTTCTTCCTGCCGTCGATCATGGCGCTGGTGTACTCGCTGGTTGAGCTGTCGCAGTCGTTTTCGGCCAAGGCAGACGCCGGCGAGGTGGTGAGCCTGATCGTGAACGCCATCGGGGTGTACGCGCTGCTTCTCGGCCCGCTGTATGCACTTGTGATGGTTGCCGGACGGGCAGCGCGGCTGCGAGTGGCGCTGCTGACGCGGCCGCTTCGTGGAACTGGCGCGCTGCTCGAGTCTGCGGCTGCAGGGCATGCGACGCAGATGCTGGAGCTGGTGGCGTGGCAGGTTGTGGGCGTGCCGGTCACGCCTGGGCTTGCGGGCCGGATCGCAGTCTCTGCATTTACCATTGCCGCCGCAGTGGTCTCGATCCGGCTTGCGGGGTGAGGCTACGGGTGGTTGCAAGCCAGGCCCGACATGCCCTCCTTCTGCTCGAGGTAGTAGCAGTACCAGGCGAGCATGTCCGAGTTTGGGGTGAGAATGGGTTTGCCCTTGATGGCGGTGTCCCAGGCGATGGCCTGGGTCAAGTTCCAGCCGCCATACTTGAGCTGCCAAGCGCCGCCAAACTCGCCGGTCCGATCGACGCCCGAGTAGCAGTGGAAGAGGAAGACGCGCGGCGCGCCATAGTCTGTGGTCATCATCTTGTGGAGGTCCGGCAAGCGAGAGGAGAGCTGATCGACGTCCCACAGGTGAAAGACGTCGAGCATGGCGTTGCGCTCGTGCTTGCCGAGCGAGTTGGGATTGACATCGATGCCCCAGATGGACCACAAGTGGAACTCGCCGAGCTCTGGATGAGCAGCAAAGAACTTTTTCTCCACATCGTACTTGCTCGCGTCCTTGACGGCGTCGAGCAGCGAGAGATCGACCACATACGGTTGACGGTGAGTCGGCCACGGCAACCCTGCAGCATCAGCACGCTCAGCCATGTAGCTCATCAGTTCATTCCATGCAAATGATCTGTTTCCAGCAGAGCCAATCTCCGGAAGATCTGATCGGAACAGATAATTGACGACAGTCGTCGACGAGTTGCTCAGCCTCTTGCCCTCCTCCCTCCCCACCACCTCGGACTCCTCCATGCCTTTCCCGGCCGACCAAGAGCCTTTCTCGGCCGACCGCGAGCCTTTCCCGGCCGACCACGATGAGACCAGCCGGACCTTCTCAAAGGTGAGTCCGGTCGTGGTGTACTCAGTGAGCACCACACCGAGGACCAAGGTCAAGAGAAGAATGCCAGTCGTCACTGTTACCATGGTCATCGCCATGAGAGTGAGGTGGTGGTGGTCGAGGGAGGGGGGGGGGGTCGTGGGTAAGCCACCACCACCAGCCGCTTCTGCACACGATGCGATCAGAGGCAGCCCTACCCTTTGACCGCACAGGGTCATTCGGGCCCCGATCCCTGCCCGATTCCCCCTCCCCCCTCTCTGCTGCGACTCTAGCATGTGCGGGAGGAGCTCGAGCCACGAGGTGCACCAGCCCGAGGTGAGGATGCGGAGCTCGATGGGAGCACGATTCATTGCCGCCACCTCGTACAGCACCATGGCGAGCAGGAAGGCGCGATTGTTTGCCGGCCGCCCACGCAGTTGCCCAGCCACACACAGTGGTGATCAACACGTCGACGCCACACCTCGACAGTCGGCACAGTTGCTTGGACCGGATCGGCCGCGGATGGCGGCAGGTGTTGCAAAAGCCCA